CTGATTACAGAAATGGACAATAAGGGGACCCCAACAGCACCAGTTCTTCTTCGTCAAGTCTGGATCTGTAATTTATCAAATCAGGCGGTGCCAGTGTTCCGCACAGTCGATTGCCACATAGCACCCCTTGCAGAAATCGGCTGTTGTGCACTTTGTCTGGAGGCATTCTATTAGATGTGCCATGATTTGTGGAGGGCGACATTCGCAGGTATTGGATTCTGCGTATCCCCATTGGGCAAGGGTTTCTCGGCATCGCCAAGCCTGGCACCCTAATCGGTTGAACGACCACCAAGTTGGTCGAGGCAGGTCTGCCAAAGTCATGTAGGTGTTGTAACCAAACTTGGAATCTGCCCAATCTCGAGATTGTGCAACGATTGTGCTGCCCAAACTGCGGATTCCCTAGTTTGGCTGACCAATCTCAAGATTGTGCAAACTGAAAACAGTCGGTGATTCAACAACCGCTCATAGCGAGTGTGTGGTGTGGGTGGTGCAAACTAGGAAGGGATTTATCTCATATTTATCCAATTATTTATTATAATCATTTATTACCTCCGCCAGGGGCTTGGCGGAGGTTATGTTTTCACCGGCGTGTCTTTGAGTGTTGGTTTGTGGGTTTGTGTGTTACCATGCACGTTTCAGTTCACTTCCGCTAGGTGCGCTGGCTGTAGACTTACAAACACGCAACTACAGGCTAAGGGGCAACCACAGTCCTCCCCCACCTGCACGCTCGCACTAATCCGGATCCAATTAATTAATTAATTTTTCCACTTAATTAATTAATTAATTAATAAAAAATTTCACATTGAGAGAATTCAGCTGCCTTGGCGGATGTCTGTGCTCTCCGAGTGCTCTAGTTATTTATACAAAGGTGCCAAACTCATTGAGGAAAGAAGGTATACGACCTTATAGTTATGATATAACATTTGAAATCCTAATAATCATATGTTTGTGCAAGCTCTGTTTTAGTGTTTACCTCTGTTTGCCCAATCTCAAGATTGGTTGCCCAAACTGTGAATGCGCTGAAATTCCAAGTTTGTGCAAGATTCCAAGTTTGGGCACAACATAGGCACTCGTGGGGTTGCTGGAAAAAGCCTTTGACATAATTGCCACTCTGTCACTGGGTATTCCACAGAGATTCGCGTAGTTGCGATGGCTCCTCGTTGCAATGTGGTACGGTGTAACTGTTGATGAAACGCTTCTTTGACTTGAGTCGAGAAGCAGTGGGTTGATGATTATTCAGTGGATGCCAGCCGTCTGTTAGTTGGCGCGTTCTCTCTACTTGGCTAGCAACATCGCGACGTATGTGTGGTGGGGCTATACCAGCAGCGTTGTAAAGTAGCTCTAATCTTGTCGATCTAATCATAGATATAGAAGAAGATTCTTCTATATCTATGATCTAATACACCCGGTGATAAGTCAGCACCTGTCATTTAGGGCGACATCCGCCTTGTTTGCATGCGCTGAACGAGACCACACTGGACATTCTTCCAGTGTAACATCAGTAGCTGTGCCCTTGTGATAAAGGAGTGATATGCTACCTAATCTGTGTTTGGCCCACCATAGAATATGGCTCCTAAGGCTACGAACCATTAACCAAGGCCAACAAATGCCGCAAATAGACAGTCTAGTGACAGGCTGCATGCTATAACAACAAGTAATGCTAATGACCGCAGACAGAAATGTGACAGCCATGATAGACTGCCTTGGATGGCCGATAGCAGAGAAAGGGAGAAGCATCGATAAAAGAGAGCTGTTAGTGTTATACTAGATTTCTTATTGTCGATGGCAACAGTGCTCATTTTTCTGCAGCCCCCGCACCCAGCCGAGGTACCAAAATTAAGAGCTCCTTCCCAAGTTCAGCCAGAATCGTTGCCCAGGCCCTCTGACGCTGTCACTGAACATACAGATAACACTTCTGGAAAAGCTTGCCTTGGAACAGGCCATCCTCGACACCTAGGTGACTACTTCGACTGAACCCCCCCCCCCTCTATGACAATCCTAATCCTAGCTGAATATTCACGCTATGCACCACGCACATACGGGTACGTTGGATACCCCAGAGGTACGTATAGCACATGTACTCCTGCACATAGAGTCGGGTACTGCTCTCTGAGGAACAAAGGTGCATCTATAGCTATGCATTCTCTCAGTCATGCAACTGTATAAGCCTCCATTCAACTGACAAAAGGTTAGCTGCATAGATACGCTGTCTAGGACATATAACCGGGTTGCTTTCACATGACAGAAACACATGCGGTAAACCGGGCGCACACGGTGAGATTCGTGCTGAGCACGAAGCGCGAGTTTCGTGCTCAGCAGAAATCTCACACCGGCGCACACGATGAGCTTCATGCCAAGCACTGATCTTACGAGCGGGTGCCACTGTAGGTCATGTGACCGGTCAAAATGGCGGAACCAAAATTCTAATCAAAATGCACCGCCACTGAGTGAGAACTAATCAAAATGCGCCGCCAGTGAGTGAGTGTAAGCAGGATTCTCACATACCGCGCACACACTGAGTTTTCAGCCTCGCGAGACCAAAATTATCAAACATGACAGATATTTCCCTCACCGCCTCGCGAGACCGAAAACTCACATACATCGACCGCGCGCACAGCGAGATTCGTGCTGCGGAGCATGAAACTCACGCTCCGTGCTCAGCACGAATCTCACTGTGCGCCCGGCGGTAGCATTTGATTCGTGGCAGCTGGGATATTTAACCCTGGTAGCATTTAACCCAACTTGTAAGCCGAGTTAACGATACCTAACTTAGATGCTAAGAACCAGTTCGATTTATGCGAAGAAAAGTTAGCGAGATTAACTTCAGGCACAATATTATGAATATAACACACGCCCCAATTTAACTCAGTGAGCCGAACGACCGACCCGACCCGACCCGACGTGACCTGAGTAGGACTCAACTCAGGTAACTTTTTGTCACGTCAACAATACTCTCGATGTTATAAATAGATAATATATGCCTCTCGCCTACTACTGAGATATATGTCCCACAATAATTAAACCCCCACAATTGCGAAAATGAAAGTGTGTCATGACTTCTAGACCAGCGCCAAATATTCGAGCCGAGGCCCAGGTGCAGATAAAGAAGATATTGGTTGTCCGTCTACAGTACATATGCGACGATCGTAGGCGTAGCATGTCATGAGCTAGCTCTAGTAACTATAGCCTGCGTACAGTTGCCGCAGGCCTGCTGCATAGCCTGCAGCAACTGTACGCGGGCTATAGAGTTACTAGAGGCTATATAGTTACTAGAGCTAGCCATGAGCTAGCTCCAAGAAATGGTATTGATACGGTTAGAATACCTATCCGTTGTATATTGACGTTAGTCACACAGCCTGGTCGGGTTAGCCATGAGCTAGCTCTCTAGTAAACCGACCAGGCTCTCCGACTGTTACACGGCGGAGAACGGCGGTTACACGGCGACCTCTCGCAGGAAGGGAACTTGTGGCTAGCTCTCTAGTAGTGCATTCGATTTGCTTTCCCAGAGCCACCTGGGTTAACCTGGGTACGAAATCGAACGCATCTGGGTTAGGGAAGATAAACGAACGGTTTTTGGGTTAACCCGGGTTAATTATCATGGATGCCAGTGACAAGAAAAAAAGAATAGCAATTGCAATCTTATTATTAATGAAATCTAACAATGAGCGGCTCAATGATAGAGAGCATGTCCATTACAGGGTTCTCCCCAGGATGAAATTCAAAACAGGGGGGAGGGAGGGGAAGGGGAGGGGAGGGGGGAAACTGGGTCCGGGGATCGTGTTTTACCGTCCACTAATTAATGCGTAAACGACTGCCACCGCACAAGCATAGCCCCGGTATTGGGGTTCTGTATAATTATAAGGATAGCCGAGTCGGTGTGACGAGTTAGGTGTGGGTGTTGGACCAGGTAACTGTTTGTTACTTTGGTGGTGGCAGGGCAGCTGCAGCGGTAGAAAATACACGCGACGAGTGTCCTGGTTCGAATGGAATTAATTTGCCGGACGATCCGTGCGCTGGAATTGTAAACGGGGATGGTAATTTAAACGGGCGCAGTGATTGAAACGAGGGGAGTGTCCCCAAACGGGGCGCGCCGCGCCCGTTGCCGGCACGATAGGGAGAACCCTGCAGTTATATAAACATCATATATCCTATCCACTCACCGTCCTTGAGCAAACATACACAGTCATTCACACTGCTACATTCATGCAGCACTGATCCCGCACTGATATCGTCGCCATGCATGGTGTCGTTGCAATGGATTGTGGGATACTTCCCCAAGCCCCCCTCCCCCCCCCCCCCCCAAGTGAGCGGCTCGTCACTTCGTCCTCACCCGGGTTGACCCGGGTAATGCAAAAATACCACGTGACTGCCAAATCGAACGTATTTGGGGCTGGCCCGAGTAGACCCAGGTTAACTTGGGGAAGCAAATCGAACGCACTATAGGTACTATAGCCCGCGGACAGTTCCCGCAACCATGAGCCATGAACTAGTTACTAGGCCTACTACTACTAGTACTAGTACTACTACTACTAGTTATACTTATAGTTATAGTGCCCGAGTTAAATTTCATTATCATCACTGGCATACCACAAGTAATGTGACATGACATTTAACTCAAATACTGTGTAACTTACACTGGCGCAAATCCACTTTAGGCACCTTATGTATCACGAAGTGATGCACAGATTTCTGTGTATCATCAACTGATGCACAGACTTTCCGTATATCAAGGAATGATGCAAAAACCCTAACCCTAACCCTAACCCTAAGTCATAAAGTATAACCTTACTCCTTAGGTATCACGAAGTGTGTTGGGGTTAGGGTTAGGGTTGGGCTTAGGGTTAGGGTAGGGTTAGGGTTAGGGTTAGGGTTAGGGTTTTTGCATCATTCCTTGATATACGGAAATTCTGTGCATCAGTTGATGATACACAGAAATCTGTGCATCACTTCGTGATACCTAAGGTGCCTAAAGTGGATGGATTTGCACCACTTACACTTACCTGCAACTGATCATGTGAGAATGTTGCATGTGAGCCAGAAATATCTTTGAAAAGTTTGCAGATCTTTTCATGCTCCTCCTTAGTAAACAGAGCTAGAGACGTTTCATATTCTGGATCTTTCTTGCTGTGATGAATCCCCATTTCGAGACCAGGTCATTCAAATATTGTATCTCTAAACACTTAGCTTATTGCTGGCACTTACAGAACGAAGACCTGATCACATCGCCCCTAGTTCGCAATTCGAGCTACAACAACAAGTACAAGCTCAATCGCCCGACAGTACAGACTTGTTGTGATCCCTCTTGCGCGCATGCAAGGCTCTATTTGTAGGTGGCGCTTAAGTGCGCCCGCGGCTAGATGGTCCCTAATCATTTTACGATGGTGCTATTTTATAAATGCGAGTTACGGAACCTATCTAAGTACAGCCGTACAAGATGGCAGCGCACACGCAATCACGTAAAAGTGCACAACGAAGTAAAGCGCACACGTTCATCAAAGGCAGTGAACCTCAACACTATGATACGCCGAAATTGGGTTACCTTGATGAAAGCACTATGGGTTACTACAAGCGTGTACAGCAGCAACTGGCAGAGGATGAGTTTCCTAGTGAAGATGAAAAGGGTTAGTACAACTAGTAGTACTACTAGTACTAGTACTACTAGTACTAGTACTACTAGTACTACTAGTACTACTACTAGTAGTAGTACTCCTAGTGGTTCAAGGATAGAGAACATGGGTCCCAATAAAACCAATGTAATTTACATCAATATAAATATAATATTACATCAATATAATAGGTTAGGGTTATGGTTAGGATTAGGGTTAGGATTAGGGTTAGGGTTAGAGTTAGGGTTAGAATTAGGGTTAGGGTTAGGTTTAGGCACATTGGTTTTATTGGGACCAATGTTCTCTATCCTTGGGCCGTACTAGTAGGGACTAGTACTAGTAGTAGTACCAGTAGTAGTAGTACTAGTACTAGTACTTAGTAGTACTTAGTAGTAGTAGGTAGGTACTACTACTAGGGGTCTACACTGGCCCATGACCCCCTGCGTCTGCGAGACTATCTATTTATTTATTTGCAGTGGCTACGCGTCCGGAACCGGTCGCCTAGCCTCCAGGCTACGCACCCGGAACCGGTCGCCTAGCCTCCAGGCTACGCGTCCGGAACCGGTCGCCTAGCCCCCAGGCTACGCATCCGGACATCCACTCACACAGTGATCGCGCGACTCGCGTACACGCATGACGGGACGCTCTGCTGATTGCCGAAAATATACAATATATGCACTGCTGCCATCTATCTTTTCATCCGTCCTCTCTCTCTCTCTCTCTCTCTCTCTCTCTCACACACACGCACAGCTCTCTCTCTCTCTCTCACACCTCTAGCTCGATCTCTCTCTCTCTCACCTCTAGCTCTTTCTCTCTCTCTCACACACACACGTGCACACACACATACACACCGCTAGCTCTCGCTCTCTCTCTCTCTCTCACACGCACACACACGTACATTCCCTCTCTTTCTCTCTCTCTCTCACACACACACACACACTCGGCAATCAGCAGAGCGTCCCGTTGCGCAATCATGCGTGTACGTGTCGCAAGATTACTGTGTGAGATGGATGTCCAGACGCGTAGCGTAGCGGCTCCTCGTCCAGAACCGGTCGCGTAGCCACGGCCTTATTTATTTATTTGAAAAATTTACGGGACGTATACCGTTAACTCACAGCCTTACAGATGAGATACAACTTACACGCATTCATTGTAAAACTTTCATTAGAATTTTTAGGTTATTATACCTCACCAGGCCGTATTATCGTATATAGTCTGTTAGTGTTAATTCCACAAGGCAAATAAAATAGTGCACTTGGTAATCACAATCGGCATTTGAATACTGAATAGGATTAGGATGCAGAAATCCCAAAACGACATGCCTTAATTAAACCGGTTACCTCGACCCACCTCACTTGCTAATTTGTCTCAGATTGCAGCGAGTTTACCCGCATGGAGATCGGCCAGATCGGCTCACGGACTATCTCATCTGAGATTTTTCACACGCTCGGGCGTCAAAACATCTATTATTATTATTAAATCTTTATTGCATATAATTCCAATACAAATTCATGTACTGAAAACAGTCTTTTACATGGCGAAAAAGATGTATTTGTATATATATAAATATAAGTGTGTGGTATTTATTTAGGTATATTTATTTAAAAGGTATTTTATTTTATAGGACCACAATGGTAATCATCTTGACCCACCCGCTGAGTTGGCCGACCTTCAGGCGGGTAAACTTGACATGAGTCGGGTTTGCCCGGTGAAGCCAGTTCACTTCAGACCGATTTAGCTACTATAATTAAATTGCTAGTCGTGTAGTGGTGCCGTGTATGTTTGCCTTGTGTTTTAATCCACCATCAGTTGATTGTGGATTTTAGATTCACTGAGTTTGTCATAAATGGCAGCAACTTTAGAATGTTTTTACAGATAATATAAAATAACTCGATAAGTTAGTAGCAGCCAATAGATCCCAGTTACCACGAGCAAGCCAGATGTTAATTGGTTTATTTGGGCTATAACGTGATGCTAAGTGTGCCAATGTTTCAAAACTAATCTTTTGTATAAGTTTTCATAATGCAAACGTTTTAAAAGGTCTCTGACTGTTGGCATTACCACTGTATAGTACATTGCTGATGAGAAAGCTTGCAAGCTCACATCCTTACTTTTATAAATGCACCACCATAAATTATATAAATAAGAATGCAGTGCAACATTGCAAGTTATAGAGCGGAAGTGCATAGAACGTTCTATAAATAGGAAGACCAATAAGAGAATTATCATTCAGCATAGCAATATATTCCTATCTGAGATAAATGATTATCTAGGTTGGTTCCACCTATAATTGGACATTTTTGCCAGTGTTTGACAGAGATTTTTGTTTTACCGCAATCATAATTAAGTATCCTCTACTATAGGCATGTAATGAGCTGACATTACATATTTCATAGGACGTGGAGAACAATTGATTGCTATAAAACAGCAATCGCAATGCCTCGATGTTTGAAATACCATGCAGTAATACCATAGTTAGCGCTAAGGGTATGTGTTAAGGGTTTGTTCCTGTAGAATGGAGCTTCTCCTGAAACACCACTGAACAAGATCATTTTTGCATGTGAACTTACATGTGAAGGGTACTCCGATTGTACATGGCATCATAAGGTGTTGTGAGTGTTCGGACTTGTTGTGATTGCCAGTATATTTCTTTGAACTTCCCATGAAATTACCTTAATGATGCCAGGTTGTAAATGTGCAAATGAGTGCATTGCGGTATATTATGCTTAGACTGCAGATCAATCTTTACTAAATATTGGTTAAATTACTTGTGATACACTTGAATTGTTAAATGTACCATCTCTGACCTAAAACAATAACAATAATTTTGCAGTGATATTTGTCCGTAATGTCATGAATGAGACTGCCGGAGAGGAGATCAAGCTGGGGCAAAACCAAACTGTGAGCCGGATCTTGGAACAGCTACTTGGTATAGCATCACCTGAACAAATAAGCAGGTATATGTTCCGCTGTCCAGTTTGACCTACTCTATTGATTTATGTTTTGCAACCTAGGTCCATGGTGTATGATAAAGGTGCTGAATTGATTTGCCATATGTATATCATATTCCATACAGCCAAGCTGGATTGTTTGGGAGGAAGGTAATCAATATGGTTTCCAATTTTAACATGTATGCTGCACTAAACTCTGTCAGGTTCTTGGATGGTCTATTGACTGATAGCACTACAGCATGCACGGACCGAATACTCAGTCATGTTACACAGACAGTACTGATCTTATCAGCTAATCTGTTAAGATCTGCTGCTGTTGAGATTCACATAAAGGAAGCCATTTCAAAGGTGAGCTGTACTTATATCAAACAAAATATTATACAGTTAGTACATGTTTCAGACAGTGAAATATAAATCAAGATATTATTTCTTATTTTATTAATATTATTATTTAGACGAAAACAAAAAATGTCCTTGAACATGAAATAGGCCTACATCGAAGTAATGGTGGAACTTCACCATGGCCAAATCTAACTCATCTAATGGGTTGGAAGCTGGACTCATTGGCTGTATATACGTTAAACTGGGTCCTGCAGCAAGTTGTGTCGCCTGGAGTGATCACACAATAACTTATTCAAAGTATGTGGCACGCATGATTACCTCATGTATAATGGCAGTTCTTTTATATTATTAATAGAATATAGGGAAGTTGTCTGAAGCAATGTTGGTGGACATTGTTGGAAATACGGGTCATTCGTATGCCACACACATAGTGCGCACGCTGCTAGAGGTACTTACAGGAGTAAAGGTGTCGCATAAACTCTCCAGCCGCTCACGGTCAAAGAGACAAGAGGAAAAGGCTTCACACGTTCCAGGTTTGTTATTAGAACATGTAGTAAGTGAGTTCACCAGTGTCTAGTTTTTGTGAAAACTACAGAAGAGTTGTGTCGTTGGATATTTATTGCTTGTATTAAATATTACATGTTTTGTACATAAAATAGCTAGAATTAAGAAGGAAGGAAAATACTAGGTAAAATAATTATATTAATAAGTAAGGTGATTTTATTCTGCACTTAGAATACTGTAAGCAATTTTATAAGATTGCTAGCAAGTGGGCAAATACTGACGTTTTAATCATTGTTGTTGGTCTCTTTTTTTGTATCCACATTTGCAGAAACAAATGAAAAGGCAGAAGAGGAAATAACTTCAAATTTCAAAGGCCTGTTTCAGCAGTTTTGCACTCAACTCCCCTGCAAGGAAGTCTTTGAAAGTAAGACTATATAGATAATCGAGCCTTATCGAGGTATAATTACAGCAAATATAATCGGTACAGAGGAGAATGACATGTATTTCTATTAAAATGGGTATAATTACTGCTTGGTTGCACACTAGTACCCTACCTTGTCAGTAAAATAATATAGGAATTTATTTGATTTTTGAAATGATATAATAAAGTGTTATCTATGTGTTTTACAGACTCCTTGACCTCCGAAATTACATCACCAGTGCTACAGACATTGTTATTTGTGTTACATGAATATGAGAATGCTCAGTGCCAGGATGTCTGTAAGAAATTGTTAAAACACATGAAGAGGTGAAGCATTAAAACCTTCTATTTTAGTTTGGTGTATAGAAAGATAATGTGTGCAAATATACATGGGGCACTGAACATTGTCAGTTGTCATTGTACAGTTTAGTGTACATTTTTTTAACATTTAGGCTAATACCACATTTAAATTGGAGACACAGTTTAAAATGTCTTTTATATGATGGACTTGGTATAGTGCATATATGCATGCATATTGCGGTTTGTGTAATAGTCAGGAGAAATATCAGTGACAACAGTCTGAAATAAATGCCCGAATGCCTGCATAAATACCACTTGACAATCTCAAGCTAAGATTAATTTAACCCAGTGCTTGTCAAGAAAATGTGAAGTAGAGAATGCTATAGTTATATGTACGTCTGACGTACGAACACATAGATTTGGGAATGCCAATCTGTTATTTTCATTGGTATTTATGAAAGCAACCAGCAAACCAAATCATTCTTCTCAGCTGTGTTCCAACTGATTTTCTGGGTACCGAGTCCCAAACAGTCTATCTGTCAATGAAATTTTGGAATCAATTAGGTTCGTTACCTGATCACTTCCCCTGTACCAGTAGTGTATGTATATCTGTAGTTGATAACAAGTTTTGCTGTATGTTTATTTAATGAGTGCACTCTGCTGTAATAGGTGCAATGGCCTGCCTGAGTACAGCTGTGACAGACTAGCATCTCGCGTAGTTGAGTGCCTTTTATCTGTGGCGTCCGAGAAACAAATCGTCCGGATCTACGACAAGCATCTAGAGCCAAGACTCGTGGAACTAGCGTTGCATCCAGTTGGCAACTTTGTCATACAAAGCCTCATTCAGCATTCTTCACAAGAGCAGGTACGTGGCGCCATCTGGAGGGAAAGATTATCTTGACTGAAACGTGTTTTTATCCTGTGAATATACGAGTCATATTTCATTATTGTAGAAATTCTACCCTTTCTAATAACTGACAAGTCATAATTAAACATTTATTACAACAATGACCGCAGTAGAAGGTAGATATGGTAAGCAGTTACCAATCGCCTATCCATATATAGCTAATATCAATTGAGGTCATTAAAATAATCTGGACGTGATGCGGCCATGGTGCCGAGGCGCGCCGAGGATTGACACTTTGTGTCTTCCAATCACAGCCTACGCCGCACCAGAGTTTTATATTTTTAAATATGGGGACCCATTGGACTACCAAATCGTCGATCTTAGGAACTAGGGCAAACAGAGAGAGTTTGGCACAAATACGAAAATAACACGCTGTTTAGCGCACTGCGCTACGTCCTACTGTTGCATTTTCGCATTTCCGTAATTAGAATAAGCCCCGCCTTCTTCGTTGATGGGCATGAATGGGGCGTCAACGACGTGACCCGTTACTGCGTGTAGGTGTTTGGCGAGACTGTTTGCTTTTCGTAAATAATGAAAGGCCCGGCCGATGCATTTCGCACCGAAGTGGAAAAATTAGGAATTTTTACCCGCTTTAGGAAGTGTACGAGTGCATCATTCATTGAACATTAAAGTTTTTCTTAAAAATAATAATTCCGAAAATCCCTAACCGCACTACTCGATTGTTTTAGCCAATGAACGTAGCTGTGTGTGTGACGTCTTGCCCGCGCGCTTTATGCTTGGCTTAGCGGGCCTCGAAATGGATATCGGAGGCACGCACCTTGCAACACGCGTGTTTGTTACATATAGCTTTGTGACATCAGGATGGGCGGTGTCGGGAGCTCTGCGATGATAACCTCGTAATTTCTCAGCATTTCTTAAGGTGTATGGAACATTTTACCAATTTAGTGGTGTCAGTTAGTCACGGATATGTCACAGCAAGTACTAACCGTATATGTTTCACATACGTTCACCTATTTTGCACACAGGCGGTCGATCATTGTGAAAAATTGTGTAAAGATTTTTTTTATTGAGACGTTCCGGATATCTCATTTAATAGTTCAAGTCCATATTTGAAGTGCTGGCAGAACGACTGGAAGATATATTTGCAGCAAACCATGTCGGCATTGTCACCAGTCTAGCTACTGCATGCATCCGACTAAAGACCAAGCAGAAGAAATACATAGAGGTAGTTGGTCTATCCCTGGCCTAGGTTGCCTGTCTCTATAGTACCAAATTTTCCCACCAATTAAAGATTTTTGTAAACCACGCGTATTTATGTCATTCATGTATATTTTATCAAATACGTGTTAAAAAATTCATTCACTTAAAGATGCCTTCCCACGCACATTTTTGTAACAAACCAGTGTAAAACGTAAGTAAATAACTCAGTACACTTTAACTGAACGTTAGCTGTGAAAAAACAATTGTAAAAATATGTATCAAGCCTATATTTGCTCAACGGAAACATAACTTGAAAAACGATTTTCGCCGCGGTTCTGTATAATGGCGGTTCTCTGTATAGGCTCATTCATTGATGATGGCGTAATACGTCACAATATCGCCGCAGAGCGGCAAAAGTAAACGCTTTTTTAATTATTTGGCCGGACACTTTCACTTTGTAGTCTAAAAGCTTAGAATGAACATATTCGCGAGCAATCTTTTTTACTTATCATACATATATAGGCAAGTACAAACGTGCAATGTTAAAATAATTCATTTTTCCCTGATTTTATGTTTTCCGCTTGAAATTTTGTGGGAAGGCATCTTTAAATTTCCAACCTTTTACAGGCTGTGATGAAAGCATTTCACTGTTATGAGCCAGAACGAAGAGTTCATGTAGCACCACTAATTCTGACAATGTCTACCTATGAGACTTACTTCAAACTGGAAGAGGGTGGAGAAAATAATACGACTGAAAACAAGAAAGTGGACGAGTCAACTGTAAGAAAGAGTTGTGCTTATTTCATTTATAGTTTATGTAATATAAATTACATGAAAAACCGGTCATATTTAATCATTGCCTGCTGCTTAGAAGATGGTACATAGGGGACCGGTGTATATTTATTGCTCGATAGTCTGATAATGCGGTAATGCATTATCTACAGATAAACTAACTACACATAGTTACTCATGTTAAAGGCTGATGTTATCATGTGTGGTAATGAATGAAATTTCTTCAAATGTACTCTTGATAATATATAAAAAAATTTGGTCCAGTAATTTCCTGGCATGGTACTAGACATTGTTTCCATAATCTTTTGTGAGAAACGTTTATACCTGTATTGTCTAATTTATTGGTGCAAAATGAATCTTGTAGACTAAAAAAATAGCAGCAGGCCTCTGATACATTAAGTACATTAATTATTGACTGCTGTTATGGAAAGCAGATATTAGAATGCATGTATGTAATACGAGTACGTTATCGTACGAACCATATTTGCAACTGTTTGCTATTTGCATTCATCAGTGCACTCTTATCCCCCGACAGGATGTGGCACTGGAGCGGCAGACGTTGCACGGCAGTGTGCTGCTGCAGCACCTACTGTCCTTCGAGAACACGGCGAGCATCGTCGCCAGTCTCCTGAACCTCAAGCCGCGAGATCTCGCAGCGATGGCCTGCGACCAGTCCGGCAGTCACGTGATCGACGCTCTCGCGAGAAGCGCGGCCGTCGGGGAGAAGAGCAGAGACGGTCTGATCACGCAGATGAAGGTATAGGAAGTGTCGCCGCTAGAGTCAGCAGGGGCCATAATAAAAATATTGTTTGTTTGCCCTCACCCGACCGACCCGCCGAAAGGGGCCGACTCAAAAGATTTGATTGATCTTTCCCATTCTTTTTTTTTTACAAATTGTATCACTGTAAATTATATAAATCTGTAGGCAATACATTATATGTACCAAGCAAAACAAACATTCAACATAAAAGGTATCTCCACACAAGCACACCCGAGCATGTAGACACCATGCTGAATTAAAAAAAAAGCCTACCTACCTACCAAACTTTTCAGCCTGGGTCGGGTGAGGGCAAAAATAGATTTTTTTAATTGTGGCCTGGCCATAGATGTTTTCGCGTAAAAGAAAAACCACATTCAAGGTATCAGAACGTGACAAAAGTGCATTACAGAAACATGTACAGCTGTCAATCTGCGTTAACGAAGTGAGCGAGCATGACTACATCTCACTCCGACATGTCAGACACTGTCAAACAATGCGGTACATAGCGAGGTTGGCTTAATTCATGATTTCAAGCCCAGTATTGTTAAGCATTTGGCATATTTTACTTTAAGGGGCAGTTTGTGCACGTGACGATGGATAAGTACGGCAGCAGGACGCTGGAGTCGATATGGAGCACTGCCACTCTGAAGCAGAAGACCAGCATAGCAGCGGAGTTGTCTGCCCGCGTCGATCAGCTTAGCAGTGACAGGTATCAGAATTGTAGACAGTGTTTGATTACTGCAGCTATACCTGGCAACTACGACATGCAGCACCACTTCTCATAACAGTTCCTTCCCTTGTGTAGTTTGCTATGGTGGTGGCAGTTTGGCATTATACAATGGTGTGCAGTGCGGGTGAATGACACGGACACGGTCCACAGGCAAGTCAGGCCTGCTGCTTCATTTTATTGCGCTTGAGTTGTATAATCAGAGATTTTATACTAAATGCACGCAAATTCGATGGGGGCTGTCAGGTTCAAGGCAACATTGATAAACATTATTTAGTTGCATTTTAACTCGAGTCCCCTGCTCTAGGTTTGGGCGTTATGCTGTCAGGAACTGTGCACTGCAGCACTTCAAACAGCGACGGAAAGACTGGGATGAGGTGCAGACAAGAACCAGCAAGAAAAGAAAAATGTTCAACGATATCATTGGTGTCACTGGACATGGTAGGTGAGGTAGCTTATGTGACCATGGTATGTTAGGTGGCGCCACAGTTACGTAACAAGTCTGATGTTGAAAATTATTAGCAGAAGTTTTTCATGGCAGGTTATAGTAATGATTTTACAGTAATAATTTACACATGAGTTTGAGTAAAACACATTTTCAGGATATTTAATTATCCTGTTTATTTTATCTACAGGTAAACTAAATGCAAAGAAGTCAAAATAATGCAGATTCCTGAAAAAATACACTATTCATAGGACAACTAGAACGAGGATAGCTGATCGACAGAGACAAATCCTTTGTTCCAGACAAAATTTCACTAAGGTTTTGAACTATTTTGGTATAACTGTCAAACAGCTAGCAACAAATGTACACCAAAATAGATAATTGCATGTATATAGCTTAACAAATAGTTTTTTATTTGAGGCAAATTGTGCAAATATTTGATGGTGTTTAGTTACTATATTACAGCTTTGATTACAAAAATTCATTATGGAAAGTAGTTACAATATAATAAATAAATATTATGCTAATAGTAACTGTTTTATGAATGTTGTGGCATTATGTACTAGTGAATTAATAATATTTCTTCCTTTTCATCTTATATATTCATTTACAAATAGCAAGCACCACTAATAAAAACTACTCGAATCAGTAGAACCTTAAGAACCACCACCATCATGACAATGTAGTAGGCACCTCAGATTCATAATCCATGGTCGTGCGAAGAGTGTCTCCATACAATGTTGCGAGTAGTCTGAGAACACTTTCCTGTATAGGTTCAACCTGCACCTTGGGGCAGTAATCATCCCAGCTAGACCTAAACAGCAAACATGATAGTGTAAGTTTGACAAACGGCAATGACAAATTAAACAACTGGAAAAAGTACGAAAAATAACTGGTTGAATTATTACTCACTACATTTGCCTTCTTTCAAGCTACGCTCCAATTTACTCACCAAATTATACAGAAGAAAAGATTAGAATGGATTTGTATATTTCTTTGCATGCAATTTATACATCCACTTAGTAATCAGTAAGGTTGACATCTCGAACTACACACTGAGAATGTGCTGTTAGACCTTTTGTCTAATATTCTATAGTACCACTAGACCACAAGCTAAAACCAACCCAAATGAAACAAAGTCATTAGAACCTAGAAACTTTAGAACCTTTAGCCCCTGGACCTCGGCCACTGGCACTGCTATTGCTATTAGTAGATTTCTGATGATGACATGTAGTAACTGAAGTTTTACAGTAATTCTGACATTTGCTGTTCATGATAGACTTTAATGAATAGGCATCAAAGTTATCTGGCATCCAGTACGGCACAACAGTTCCGGTAGTTATAAGGCACTGCATAAGCCACGTGTAGTCATGGAAGTGCATGATCTCATGATTTACCTGGCAATGGTAATTATAGATGGCCTGGGAAGGTCCTCAAGAAGAATACGGACATCTTTCATTAGATCTGTCACCTCATCTTGTGTGCTCACGTGGTGGGGGAGGTCGTCTGTATCATCGCAGGTCAAGCCTGCCTCGTGGATCAGGTCAAAATCAAAGTCTGTAGAAAGGTCATCTTTGCATGTCTGCTTCACGCTGTTAACTAGTGCTGCCATCTTCTGGCTGCTGGAAATAACATTAGTCATACCTTGTTCCTTTAGCTGCCAACCCTGATCAAACTGCATGCAGCGCCCCGTTCGTACAATCAGGATACAACTGCCACAAAGCTGGTACTATTTTTAAAGTGGGCGGAGCTCCGGGGAAATCCAGCAAATGGCAATCCAATGGCCGCGTATGATTTGAAAGTAGTAAATGGGCACACAATCCGTGCACTATTTCGTATCACTATTTTATCAAACTTCATGAAATAATGTCCGACATTTAGTATCTTTGCAACTTTTATAAGTACAACCCGTATTACATAGGATAGGAGTACCGGGGCCATTGTAAAACTTATAGTAAAAAAGCATAAGAAATTCTTATGGAAATCTGCTTGTGGCAGGGGTAAATAGAGCCAGAGCGAGAGTGCCATCTCTCGTGGAGTTTGAACCCTGATGCGCCGTGCATTAATATTAATACATTCATCCAAAAACATCCAACAGCGGTTTTAACAAAGAACAATATTTAGGATGTGAATCAGCTTCAAACTCAATTATTCATCAGGGTATGCTTACAGAACATTGGGTAGTACCGGCTTTCCCTGCACTGCTGAATTTAATGCTGTCTTCAGTGTGAGTAGTTGCTCTTTGCGGTACTGCATGCAGGCACTTATTGCCTAAAACAAACAAGGCATCACTTTAAACAATAAAATGAATATAACACTCATTCATTTAACATAATATATTACAACACTGCATATAAATTGAACAATGCGGTGACACTGTATGGCCTGTGGTGGAACATTCGGGTATTTATATGTATTTGTGCATGTGCACGTGCATATGTGCGGGCGTGTGTGCATGCATGCGTGTAACATATGCATATAAATAGTTATGATCATGATATCGGTAGATTTCTATCGCGACTTTGTACCATCAATCCCATATATCAAACCATAATTAACTATAAAGCAATAATAAACCATAGACGATATATGAATCATAAAGCAAAGCAAAATGCCAAAAGACTCTCTGTGTGCAGAGTGTTATTCATATCATCCAATTGTTTACTTGCCTTTTCAGACTTGCAGCTGTACTCAAATCTGTACAGTTCTTTGATGGCACTATACTGATCACTACTAAACAGGTCTTTAAAGGGATTTGTCGTCGAGAAAAAGTCTAGGTCAATGTCGAGGATAACAGCTTCAGACTCTCTGATAATATCACGTAATCTTTGTGAAATGGACTCCAGTGACGTATTACTGCACGCTTGCGCGCGGGTGTCCTGAAACAGATTGCTCTCCCTTCTGGCAGGCATGATGTCCGAGGTTACAAGATAGTTTTGCCCGTCGTCACTCACGCTGTTTTCACTCACTGCTGTCGTCTCTACAATGCCGAGTCCCTTGTGCAAAACTGTCTGAATACATTCTGGGCGTCCTTCACATCCGACTGTGTCAAATCTCGGTCGCTTTCTTGCAGGTTCTTCATGTTTTACAGCAATACGTTCCTTTTCGCTGGCATTTCTGATGGGCGAGACCAACACAGCTGTTGGGTCAGTGTCTGCAACGTCTGCAGGTGTGGCTTCAATATGACAAACCCCACTGAGAGGTTTTTTCACTAGGTCGGGTTCATTTACACTGGTGTCAGTCATCCACGGATCCAACGTGATGACGTGAAATGTTACAAGTTTCTTATTGGTCAGCTCGTGCTCTGGGGCATAGAGCAGATCGCTGATATAGTAGATGTCTGGATGGCTCACTCTGAAATTGAATGTATACAAATTAACACGTCATAAGGTCATAATAGCACCGACTTGTACCAATCACTGACCAAATGTCCAAAAAATGCAACATTGCTACAATTGCCAGAAATGTAGACCTTAGCTCAATGTTTTTATGCTTAATTGATCCAAGCAAAGAATATGTAAATGATCTTGTCATTTCACTCTTGCTGAATTGAACGTAAATACGTTTGTTGCTTGTTTAAACGTTTTTCAATAGTTATACAATCACAATTTCTTCATAAATTTACCATTGAAATGTTAGACCTGGTATATATATATGCAAGTGCAGTTCAAGTGAGTTTGTTTTGGGTTGTGATAGTTGGACCATTTTTTAACATAATAGTAAAACGTTTCATTTTATGCCCATAACACTTCGATATTTACACCCCCGTTGGAATTAATGATGAGTACTGAGGGGTAAAATGACCAATGACCAGCTATCTTAACACGAGTGGAATAAAGCAAACTTCATTTTTCATTTAACAAAGTCAAGAAAGCAGTATGGCAGTGCTGAAACATTTGTGCCGTCACTGGGTTTGCAGGACTGTCTTCGGCAAAATGTCTGGAATTTTGTACACTGGCTTTTTATACACGACCTTCGAATTTTGGAATGATGATATTTCAGCTGTTTGCACCAAAATATAGATGGGATGCGTAGATGAAGCCTTTTACACTTTGCTGCTATTCTCATTGAATGACAGCCCAGACACGTGCTAGCACCACATTCCACAAGCCCCACCCAACTATGACATTAAATAACCTAGTAACAGTAGAATAAATGCAGTTGAATAATGCATTACCGGATGCAATGGTTCGTGATGTGTTTCCCAATGTAGAACTTTGAAGTGCCATTTGGGAACTGTGTCGCCCAGGGTGGTTTTAGCCAAACAATTGTGGAGATGTGACCAGCATATACGGCTGGCATTATCCAATCTGCTATACCTACAGTACTGCAATCATCAAAAGAACATCAAAAATAGTTCATGTAGTTCGAACAACTGCAGTAACAACTGAGAATGTGACCTCTATAACAACATAAACATAAAATAATCAATAAGATATGTCATAAGATATACATATATATATATATATATGTCATAGACATCTAGGGAGAAAGCATGAAGAGCAGATCTAGACAGTGTGCCTTTGAAATGCAAGGCGTGTTAAAGACACAACTGATATATCGTAATCTTTTCGCTGTACAGCTAGCCATCGGTCAGTGCAGGTGTACGTATGAACATGTAAGACCGGGAGTGGTCTGACTATTTGTTTGCATACGATTAGTTTTGTTTGCGACATATATAACTAAATCGGTGCTCTTACTCGTAAACCTTGTCCTTATGATAGACATCATCAGCTGGCAGGTCGTTTGGTATCATTAGGTCAGGGTGAGAATCAAGATGGATGATGGTGTTGCCCTTCATTGGGAGCAACCTCTTGCCAATTGCTCGATAAATGTGATATAAAGCCTAAAGTAATAAAACAATAAGGACATCGTTAACGTCTTTGGGTACACATAATGCCTCAGCTAATATGTATTAAACATACGCATTGTAAATATTATTGTATATATTGGAATATCAGCTACATGCCATAGCTCAGCACGTGTCAGCTGGAAGAATAGCAGAAATCGACTCACTGACCACTTACACTTACAGTTACAAACAGGATAATTACTATTAAATTGCCAAATATGGCCAGTCATCCTAAACGCGTCCTGAATCGCAGAAATGAGCTAGATAAGCCAGATGTAGTGAGAGTAATACAAAATTAGTTGGGGGAGGCAACGAAGGAAAATAATACCCTAATACCTCATTTTCTCCTACTTTCCAATATCTCCCTACCCACCTCTTACTATTATCCCTACTCACTTGCTTACTATTATTCCTCTTCCCATCTCTCACCTCTTTCTCATTATTACCAATCATCACTCCTGTCCACCTTCTCCTCTGCCGTCTTTTCTTTAATATCTCCACTTATGCCTTTCTATCTATCTCCTTCAATCTCAGTACACACTTCGTCTTCACCTCTACCTTCCCCTTGCTCTGTCCATCTCCACTCTTCCTCGATTTCCTATAGTCCCCACTCCGCCTTCATCCCTACTTTTTTTCGTCTGCCTTCCCACTATCTCTCCTCTCTCTCGTTCTTTCTCTCTTGCGCTCGCTCTTTCTCGCTATCTATCTCTCGGTGTCCTTCGCCTCTCGTTAAATAATACCCTTTCATCTTCCTATTTTTAGCCCATCAGTGTTCTTTTGCATCTTTGCTTCACCTTCCTCCCTGTCTATCCATTTTAGCACTACGTGCTTTTGTAAGTATGGCACGGGTCCAGATTACACCGACAACAAGAAAGATTAGCATCTCCTCCTCTGCGGGGTTTATTCACCAGCCTCATAATTCTATGCACGGTTGCGCAGACAGCATATGGGTAGCACACACGCACGCACGCACGCACGCACGCACGCACGCACGCACGCACACACACAAACACACACACACACACAAACACACACCACACACGCACGCACGCACGCACGCACGCACACAAAACACACAACACACACACACACAAAACACACACAACACACACACACCAAAACACACACACACAACACACACACACCACACACGCACACACACACTGATAGGGAGCAGATATTATGCACGCTGATGATACCACACGCGGCCTCAACTCCTCACGAGTCTATTATCATATACGTGAACTTCTGCGTCTTTTCCCCAGCCCCAACGCATGTCGGGTCCGACATGCCTTCAAAGCTGAAGCTAATTTTCGACATCCCACAAATCGTCCGATATGATGAGTTAATCATGCCTAATTGCATTAATAACATTGCCTAATTGTTCACTTTTGACAGTTCCAACACAGTCATGCTGTGTTTTCACAGATTGACGCACACATTTCCGAACTGATCAAGTTTACTTGCGTATTGGAATCGCTTATGACACATGTAATTGACTTCAGTTGGTACAACCACCTCCCCCCTCTCTTCTCTCTCTCTCTGGGCCTTTCCCATCCATCCGTAAACGAAATGCCTTCTGAACCTTCTGGGTAGAACCCTGCTGGTATACATTTATATATATATTATATATATATCATATTATATATATACTATATATATATAGGCCTATATATATATGTGAGGAAGCCACGTCCTTCCTTGTTTGTGATTAATTTCCCAAGATACTTTCGCGGCAGTAGACAGTCCAGAAACAGAAGCAATATGAACAGCAGCAATAACCGCAGTTATAACATTGCTGTTCCCTTAGCAATTTATCAACGGCCCCGTTATCCCCTGTAGAATAATTTCTGTTGCAGCACAGACCACACGTCTTCGTTAATTACGTGTCGCAGACCACTATTTCTTACACGTGACAGATCACTAGTACAAGTGTATAGCACACATGATCACTAATATACGCGGATACAATGGATTATATGGAATGTATGGGATATATGGATTATTTGGGATGCAATGTCACAGAGAATGCAATTGCTCACGTACGTGCGTGATTCCCGCGTACCATTTGCCCTTCCCGTCTTATAATTTCACTATAATATATGATCAGGCCATCCCAACGGGACGTATAATTATACACTAAACCTATAATACATCCGTTAGGAACATGTGTTGGCAGCTCTATACCTTTGTAGTCCTTTGCTCGTATGGCGAGCGTAAATATTTTGCGGTTGAGAATTCTTATTTTGGCATTTTCCTCTCACGCTCCCTCCAACAGCAACTAGACAAAATACTTGTATGGATTGTGAGCCATGTGTAAGTGCAAGTTATATGCGTGGTTTAATATTTTTAGCACGTCTGTCCTCCAGGGATCTTTGCTTGCGGGTAAAGTTGTTTTGCTGTTTAATAGCAACCCAGCTCGAACTGCATTATCGCATGCGATGATATGTCAAGTCAAATAGTTTGTGCAAATATATGTTAGAGAGAAACCGGCTCATATCTGATACCGGCAAACCAAATGTTTTCAAACGTTGGAATCAATCGTTACTGCACACTTTGCCACAAAATTCTTGTAGATTCAACACATGATAACTGCTATAGACAACGTGTGAGACATAAACCAGTAGTTGTGAAACCTCGACCCATTTGCAGGGATATGGCTTGCCCTCGAATATTACCGTACTGTGAATGCCTGCATACCTCCCATTTAATTAAAACATATCCCTATTTCTCACGCTTCACCCTTTTGTAATGTAACTGCTAGTAAAAATAAAAATTACTGTTCAATTTGATACAATAATTACTTGGTATAGTACAGAATAAGTAGACAAAACTACAGAATTACGAGTGTACAAATTTACAAGAAACCATATTTATAGAAGTTCTTGTTCCGAAGATACTTCCCGGTATCAGATATGAGCCGGTTTCTCTCTAACATATATTTGCAGAAACTATTTGCCATCCAGTAGGAACTCATAACAATGCAGTCTGCCCGAACTTGTACGATTTCCTGACGTCACCTTTCAAACATTTAGTGCATTTCACACAAGCACTGCTTGGCCTGATATGTTGCATACATCTTCAAATTGCTTCTATGCCTTGGCACGGACCGAGAGACCCGGATCTGCACTGCATGTTTAACATTCCTGTTCTGCAACGATACTTCTATAGCAGTCAATCTTCTGCTGTGCTTTATTGACTTTATTGAGCAACATGTCGGTTTGCAACCTTGTGGTCATACTTATATCGCGTTAGATGGCACCTTTTTTGGAATTTGTCCCTACCACCTGAGAAGACAGTCTGACACTTTGTCTAAACTGTTTTATGTTTATCTTTCAAAACTGCTGTCAACTGCCATGTCAGACCCTATTAAACGGCTGTTCACTCGAATGTTCACACTAGAGGAAGTGACTTGACCATGTTGTCACGCATAATGCAGCTAAATGCGACCTCTTGTGCATGTTATGCAGTGAGATATTTCCACGAAAACGAACTAAGCATGTTTGCGTCAATTTGAAAAGCTGAAGTCACATGTTCTAATGTTCAGTTTTTAAAGTACTAATTTCTAATTTTTCAATTTTAATGGTACGCAATACGACTTATTATAACGCTCTATAACCAATCCCTAATACCTATAACTAAAATAACATACTATAACATTCTATAAAGCCTCGATTAAATTTTAATTTTAATGTTATTGTGTATGTACATAGTATGTACATATATCACATCTTTTTATTTATTATCCCTAGTATAAGCACTGCTATAAATATATGGGGAATATGCCAGCAGTTCTCAAAGCACTGAGGAAACCGCATATGTGCATGCGTGCGTGCGTGCGTGCGTGCATGCGTGCGTGCGTGCGTGCGTGCGTGCGTGCATGCATCTGTGCATACGTGCGTGCATAACTCTTAAGTCTTAACTGTGACGTTATAAATTGATACAGGTATAGACGTCAACCCCACAAGCACTTGAGACAGTAAGTAAAAACTGAAAATAATATGAACGCACATTCACAAATACTACCGTACCTCTCAATTACAGTTCCACTGTTGTGTGACTGTATATCAACTTTCCTTCATAAAAACTAACGCCGAACGCTCGTTAAATATGCTGTGCACAAATAATAATATGCTGTGTCGCCATTATAATGATAATATCAGGAGCGTATAATGACAAATACGCTCCTGATAATATATATATATATATATATATATATATACTAGCGGGATACCCGGCGTTGCCCGGGGAAATCATTGGCGTTACTCAGCTGGTGACCGCTTGGTTGAAAGGAAAATACCAAAAAAATCTAACTATCTATCTATCCATGCATCCATCCATGCATCCATCCCATTCCATGCCATCCCATCCCATCCCATCGCACCGCATCCCATCCCATATCCCATGCCATGCCATGCCATGCCATCCCATCGCACCACATCCCATCCCATCCCATCCCATCCCATGCCATCCCATCCCATCCCATTCTATCCCATCTAATCCCATCCCAAACAGTAAAAAATAATAAGAAATCAAAAGATAAAAAACATTAAAAAGTAAAAATAAAAAGTAAAAAGTAAAAAATTAAAAATAATACATACTAAAGAGGTAGGTAAAGGGAAAAAGGGAAAAATAAGTTCCCCAGCTGGGACTCGAACCCGGAATCCCTGTGTAGGAGACGGATGTTCTAGCGATTAGGCCACTGCGCCGTTAAGGGTATACACCATGGATTCACACGTACGTGGATGTTAATCTGTACGCACCGCCATCTATTGATGAATAGAATTTTTATCTATTTTTTATTTTTTAACTTTTTAAATTTTTTGTTTCAGACGTGATCCCAGACGTGTTGATTCTGAAAATATCTTTAGTTTTCCTCTAGGCTGCGGAGTTATCTAGTTATGCGAGTACGGACTAATTCGGCTGAACAACTTTATATATATATAGAAATGCGGGAGCGGTCGGCGTTAGTTTTTATGAAGGAAAGTTGATATACAGTGACACAACAGTGGAACTGTAATTGAGAGGTACGGTAGTATTTGTGAATGTGCGTTCATATTATTTTCAGTTTTTACTGACTGTCCCAAGTGCCTATGGTCAACACAGTAGCGTACTCCCTTTTTGTATAAGTCACTATATAATTTTCTATCATGTATTTTCTACTTCATCCGCGTCAAGTACAGCATATGCCTACAGGACAGAGTTCTGCGGATGCTGCTCGTCTCTCTAGCTGTTAATTTTATACTTTTGAGAAATTAGCAAAACTAATTTAATGTCTATGCACCAACCTGGCCTATTTCTGTCAAATCGTTTACAGATCTAATTGACGTCATACCTGACCCATTACAACTAAATCTAACCACTTGCCTATAATTTCTGCAACTAACACATACCATATCATACAGTAGGCGTCATAGATTTTAGGTTCAGAATTTATCTTACTACCATTGTGACATACCCCTCACTATTTATTTGTTTAACAGATTAGCAATTCAAATACCTAAAATATTTGTTTATAGTAACTTAATTACAATGCTTCAATCCACAGGTTGTTTACTCACTTTACTGCCTTAAGTTGGGTCGCATTTTGCTTGTTCCCAACCATAAACTACGAGCGCATTTTTAAGAAGTGAAGCTGTATAATTCATGTATCGTAAATTTTGACGTGGTGAGATCTAATAACTTTGCAAACATCAATAGTTGTCTGTGTCAAACATTTATTTTAATCAAGTATGGCACATCAGGAGTGAATTCATACTTTTTGGAATGTTGCCCTACCTAACATATCAGTACGTACCAGCTATACACACTACTTCTATTTATATGCACTTAGACTAGAAGGAACAGTTTTGCAAATTAGGTTTTAGTTTTAATATTATAAATAAATTGTAAAAACTATTGAGAGTGTTACACGGGAGAAAAATTCAAAAATTCTAAAAACAGCAGAGTTTCACGGTGGAGAAGGTCTGCTTTCTGCCGTTGCTGAAATAACTGCCTTTCCAACTCATGGCTTGTGACCTGCCGCCTTTGTTTTGGTATGGGACGGTTGGGATCACGTACAGCCTGTGACACACGCTTTGCACTGTTATTCTGCAACACATCAGCAACAAGTATGCCTCTGATGCAGTCTATCTTCTGCTGTTTAGTCAACACAGTTTCGCATTTATTTCGAAGATGAACAATTTTGCTAGACTGGTCGGTTCTGGCTCTGGTTTTCTCCAGCTGGTATGCTCTCAGTAACAGATCCACATAGTTCCATAACATGTCCCTTTTTGCTCTATCACTTATCACGTCCTTCTTCGCTCTGTCACTCAGAATGGCAAGAACGCGTTCCACATCTCCGTTTTGTTGTTTGCTTCCATCGTTCACCGAAGAAGACGGCATTGGCGCCTTGTCATCCAGAGTGGATTGCGTACGTCTGTCGATACTGCCAGCACTTGCCATAATATCATTCAACTGTTGTTTAGTTGGATGTTCCATCCCAGAGGTAGGGAACATCTGACCACGTGCAACCACGCATATGAGGATTGCTGCTAAAAGCCACCACTTGTGTAGTTTATGCATCATGATATTGCCCTAGAAATGAATTGAGAACCTATCATTTTAAACGGCCGTTTTCTTAGTTTGCAACATTCGGGAACATCATTGCTTTCACATGCATATATACCAAGAGTACATAATTGGAGATATATTATAGAGTATATATATATGTATCTCCCATTATGTATTCTTGATATATAGTATATACATACACGCACGCCCGCACGCCCCTACGCACACACGCACGCACGCACGCACGCACGCACGCACGCACGCGCGCACACATACACAAAAGCTAAATTCAATAATTTTTTGACCGTATTAAATTACTAACAAACCAAGTCAACGATAAAATTGTCAAAGTTTAGATAAATTGATAGGCTGGGTCATTATTGTGCACACTGTATAAATTCCATTGCTGCGATCCGTGTGAATAAATGTACACAGTGCATACCAACCAAGAGTAAATATATACGGGTAAGGAATAATCCCCATTATTTACTCTCGACATATACTCACAAAAATTGCAGGCAAAGTTCCTTTACAGACGCGATTATTAGTAGCCATTAGAGGTTACGTGCAAGTGATGAAACGGTAACATCTTAGACGCACAGCCACGTGAAAAGCGCGGTAAGACCGATTACCGCGCTAATCATGTTTAAAATTACAAAACTATCCTCACTGCAATGCATGCTAATAATATAGGATGAAGCATACCAGAGAGAAGCAGCTTCTGGATACTTATGTCGTCAGAATCTACCCGATGTCGTACATGCATGTAGATTGGATCCTGTTCTTACAGAAGTCACTCGAGGAATGAACCTTGCGCGCGAACGCTTCACTGGTGGTATGTGGCCCTCGGCGTTTAGAGCTCGCATCAATAATCGTCGGTCATTTAGCGCCGCTATAAACATCTTCCCGTGCCCGCTGCGCTGTAGCCTCCGCGCCTCACTCAGCCGCACTTCATGAATGGCCGGCCCATAGCGGGGCGAGAGAGAACCTTGAGCTCTCTCGTCGGTGGCGATGTCGTAAAGCCGTGAGCTGCGTGAATTTCCACGACTGTCTCGACGTTCCTTTTTTATTTGTTTGAACACATATCTTGAGGATCACTCGCAGACGGACGAAGATTTAGCGTAATGCCGCTACGAAATGTGACGAACGAGCAATTTCCAACACACGATTCTATACGCTTAATACACATGGCGAGTGGTCCTGTGGTCTGTGGACCTTTCAACTCTACAGCCTATAGTAATAGACTCCTGGTAATATGTGGGTGTGACTGGCAAATATTGGAATGCGCGGGGGTGATCAAATGACCTATTTACAATATATGTCAAACCTGATTCAACAAATAGAGATATAAATACATTATAAACGCCAGCGATCTATTTATCATCTATAATTATACTGCAACATACCTTTCAATATTATGACATGTCAAAGAGGGATATTTGCAAGGTTTGAGTCTGACGAACAATTTGTACCTTTCTACACGCACAAACATTTTTCGTTTAAAGGTATAACTAAACATATGGCAATAACGTGGGCGTGCATATACACCATAAATGTGTATATATATATATATATATATATATCAGGGGTATCCCTAGGAACTAGGAATTTCAGAAGGCATGTCGTGAGACTACAGGGGCGTAGATAGCGCCGAGGGGGGATATATCCCCCACTTATTGAGGTGGGGGATGGCGTGTACAATAATCCCCCCCCCTACTTTCAGGAGGAAAATGGGGGAAAATTTCATATTTTACACACAATAAATACTGAACATTTATCTACAAATACGTCATCACTATTCATACTCTCCTAATGTATTATTACACAAATGGAAAGTGACATACATCTACTGTAAAATGTCTGTAACTCGTTCCAAGAATGACTATTATGACTTATTTTACTGAAAATTTTGGACGCATCCGCATGGATTCCCGATTTTTTTTTCAAAATCCCCAAATCACGTCTTATCACTCACTGCTCACGAAAGTTAAATCCCTGCTTTATTCAAAATTAGAATAGACATTGAGAGTTGGGATATTGAATTTTCACAGGGAATAAATGGGATATTTTTAATTCATCACACTTTTTTATATCCCCCACTTATTGAGGTGGGGGGATGGCGTGTACAATAATCCGCCCCCCCCCCTACTTTCAGGAGGAAAATGAGGAAAAATTTCATATTTTACAGACAATAAATACTGAACATTTATCTACAAATACGTCATCACTATTCATACTCTCCTAATGTATTATTACACAAATGGAAAGTGACATACATCTTCTATAAAATGTCTGTAACTCGTTCCAAGAATGACTATTATGACACTTATTTTACTGAAAATTTTGGATGCATGCCCATGGATTCCCCATATACGATTTTTTTAATCCCTATTATAATATAAGTTAAAATAAATCCCTGCTTTATTCAAAATTATAATAGACTTATTGAGAGTTGGGATATTGAATTTTCACGGGGAATGAATGGGAATTTTTTTAATTCATCACTTTTTTTTGGGGGGGGGGTGCTGAGATCCGACCGGAAGTATATTCCCGATTTTGTATAAGGGGTGAAAATATGCACTTTTTGGTTCAAATCTGGTCGTTTTTCTCATACTTTTTTTTGTACAGTTTTAGCGTTCTCAGTAAAATATGTTTTATCAAAATTTCAGGGGGAGATGATTCCACTGCTGTAGTTGTCAGTGGCGGATCCAGGGGGGTCACATGTAACCTGTATAATACAGTCGTTATGTTCCGCACGGCTACACTAACGCCTGTAAGTGAGCGCCACGCCTGCGGTTCGCGAGCCTCGTTATCAATCTTATTGACTTATGGCAGGGAATCTGATTAGCGGCGAGCAATCGAGTGTACAGAACTAAATACGACAAAACTTCATCCCAGGCAAATACCTGATGAATGGAAACAATCTAGTTAATGTCTTTGGCAGAAGCGTGCACTAGTTGCAGTTATAAATTCAAGTTGAATAACTTGAGAAATGACGTCAGGCAAAAGCCTGCTCGCTGATTAGACGACCTAGTCGTTGCGACCTGCTCACTCATTGGCCGGTCTGGCTCAGTCAGCAGCCACCCACTTTCATATAGTAAGGTGTTAACGCTCTGGTGAGTAGGCCCTCTAGCGGCCGTTACGATCAGGAGCGGTAATCATTAACGTTAGGTCACATGGGGCGGTCACCCCCCTAGAATTTTCAGGGCAAGGGTATTTTAGCCTAGGTAAGTCTGCATTGGTAACCCCAGTGAGGACATGTACATAGCACAGATTTAGTAGTGAGTGTTTTAGTCTTTGGTGTCCCCAAAGATAAAAATACTCAACTCAATGATGATATTATTGTGATGAAGATTGTTTAATAATGCTGCCTCAGGGTGCAGGAAATTGCATCTATAACAGGTGTAATTTTCAACAAAATTTCCGGAGGAGGTTCCCGGACCCCCTAAACAGGAGGGGGACATCCCCCTGAAGGAGGAAAAATCTCGTGATATGTTATGATAAAGATGGCTAAAATTGATTCCTTTTAGATTGCAACTTTTTAACAATTCCACACAGTGGGAGGGGGACACCCCCTCCAACACCCTCCCCCCTCAGGTGCTTTGTGCCCTTGAGCTCGCATGATTCGCCCCCCCTAGAATTCACTTCTAGATCTGCCACTGGTTGTGTGTGTGTGTGGGGGGTGCGTGTTATTAAACCGCTGGAATCCAAAGAAAAAAATAACCCCAGAATTCACAAATATTGCACTTACAATTTTTTTCAATTCCCTCAAAAAAGGCCATCTTGAAGGTTCTAAATTGCCAAAATCCAAGAGCTTCAAGGGGCTCTGCCCCCTGGGCCCCGGGAAAGGACCATTCCCCTGCCACGGGGCCCTAGGACCCCACCCTTTGAGGGCTTTGTGCCAAGGTGCTCGCGGTGTGCGCTCATACTTTGCGATGGAAGTAACAAAATCATCCCCCCCCCCACAACTGAGGACCTGTCTACGCCACTGCGTGAGAGCCCGGGATGGGTTCTACCAATCGGAGATATAAGCGAGACATAAGAGCCCCTAATACACACAGAAAATTTATCAGTTTGGAGTCGTTTACGTCAACCTATGGAAACACACAGCATGACTATGTTGGAATTGTCGAAAATAAACACAACTGGAATTTAAGGCTTTTATGAATAGCTAATGGATTTGAGCCCAACATGGACTACAGGTATAATAATTGGAATAGGTACGACATGTACGATGAGGTACTATCTCAGCTTCAGATCCAAAGACTTGAGTTTCGTCGCGAGCAGCTTTGTGAAAAAGTTGGCTTATAGCTCAAAAGTTGTAAACAATTACAGGATATGTTGCCCTCCTTCAGCAATAAATGTGTCTAACCGCATAACACGGAATCTAGTAAACTCCGGCTTGCAAAAGTCCCCGCTCCCGTACCAGCCGGTACTTCAATAGCCCTGTTCCGTACATGTGCAGGATGATTAACAAATTGTAAACAGGGCAACTGCATTTTTTTACAATAGCATGGATAATTAGTCTTTTGCCTTGCACCCCTTTATAAACCCTTTTGGTCTCTTTGAAATAACTCTCTGGACAACTTTCGGTTATGTGATATGTTTGCATTCTATCATTGTGTCGCATTTTTAATTGGTAACTATTTTTTGACGGCAAGGATCACGTTATTTTAAATTTAGTATATATTCTATAGATGGTTTTTAGTTTAGTGATATATAATTTTACGAACCAACATTTTAAGTGATATCTATGTCTTACCATGGGACATATATTATTGTAAATATCATCAATTTATATATATATATATATAATCAACACTCCAAGTTCAACAACTCTTGAGGTAGCTATAGGCTGCCTAACCATGAATTCAATTGCTTTCCGCCCCTCCACACTCCATTTCAAACACACCGAGAGGTTTTCAGCTTGTATAAAAAATTATTATAACCTAATATCAGGCTTTCAGATTTGAAAAGTACAGGAGGAACTACTCAAGACTCTCCTAAGGACACATAGGGGGGACTTTTCACGCTCACATAACTCACACCCTTAAGAGGCCACTGATGGAGACTTCCACTAAAAAATCACAGTCCACTTAAAAGGGGTGATGGAGAGCTCTGTCTGCAAGCTTCTCCATCATCTCTTGGTGTGATGATGGAGATCATGACCAATCCCCCAGTCTAAGGTGAAATCCAAAACAGAAAATTGGGATGTGCATGTCAATCTACTCATTATCATTCATCTTCACCTTCATTCATTCAATGGCTTCGTCAGGGAATTACATTCTTTTTATCCAACAACCAACACTAATAGCAACAACAAGATTAACCTCAAAAGACGTTGATCGATATAAAAATAAAAACTTGCTTTTATTTTAATTCCTGATTTCCGATCCTTACAGAGATCTAATCCACGTAGCCTGCATATTTCAGCACAAAAATATCACCAAACAATCCATCAACAAACTAGGCCAAATAATTGTACGATATAGCCACGCTACTGTGCCCCTACAGCCCTACGACTGTTTTACGTCGGCAAAGAAACCACTTCTTGGCGCACGTATAGTAGAAAACGAGAGCAGGTAACCTTTGTGGCTACCGTATACCTGTTTTGGATGCTGTTGTTTAGTTGTTATTTATATATAACATATACTAGAACCAGAGGAGTAACCAGATGACCTGTAGCCTCTGCATACGTTCATCACCACTTTCATCATTTAATTGTTTGTTGTGTTTGTGGCTAAACCTTTTTGTACCCCCTACTATTGAGAATTCTCTATTGGAGCGGCTATTCGCAACATACTTTTGGTGCGAAGATTCTCAACTCACATTTTATGAGGCGCGATGATGCGCGCACCATCGGAAGCAATTTCGGTGCGCGTGTAAGAGGAGCGCGATGCGCGATCGCGCCCCTTAAAAATGAAAGCCTGTAATATAATAGTAATTTATACATGATGAACTCACTGTGTTATTGTTTGTAGTTAAGTTCAGGTTTATTGTAGTGCATGGCTCTTATACATACAGTATAATCATCTCCGTCTTCGTCATCGTCATCATCATCATCATCATCATCATCATCATCATCATCATCGTCATCATCATCATCACCAGCATCTATCCTAGAATAGCGTATGACAGATCATACACATCTCTAGGGCAAAACTTATTCAAAAAATTATTGGTCTAATTAAGAATCACCATAACTTACTAGCAATGGCATCGCCATTAGCATACATATCGCCATGCAGAGCCATCTTGTATCTGGTATCTTGGCTCCCTCTCTTGTATTTCACAAGGCACACGATTCAACGAAGTGCGGGGAACGCCATGCTATGGCGGCGCGTCGATGTACCCACTCCCAGCGTTGGTCTGAGTTTCCCCTGCCCAATGCCCACCCTAACAATTTTTGGTGCATTTGGTGTGGGTGTCCAAAACCAAAGCCCTCGGTGTTTGATCAGAGGAAATTACCGAGTAGTCCCCGGTAAAACTCTTGGTTCAAGGATAGAGAACATGGGTCCCAACAAAACCAATGTCATTTACATCAATATAAATATAATATTATATCAATAATAATATAATAGGTTAGGGTTATGGTTAGACTTAGGGTTAGGATTAGGGTTAGGGTTAGAATTAGGGTTAGGGTTAGGGTTAGAATTAGGGTTAGGGTTAGGGTTAGGCACATTGGTTTTATTGGGACCCATGTTCTCTATCCTTGGGCCCAAACTCTTACCAATAAAAACGTTGGTATTGAATTAATTCGTGTTTATCTGCTAATAGAACTTTATAAATTACGAAGTCGTTATTTCCATGCAGGACCGCTGTTCCCGCTACTGAAGTTCCCGACCAATCACAGAACGCCTTGGTTCTGAGTAGGCAAAATTAGCATGTTAGGAATGTCTTGCCAGTGACAGTGTCACGTGTGTACGAGATCATGAAATATAACTTGGCCTACCTCATTATGGTTTTCCACAACAAACGCTTCAAGTCCGTGTTTTTCTTTTGAACCTTTACTGGCTTTAGAATCAAACCTATTCAGATTCAGTGTATTATTATCAGTAGTTTCCATCTTTAGATTAGGCCGAGTTGTGCATTATTGTACAGAAATGATATCTTTATGTGTCACTAAATCAAATCTAGAAATAATATAGAAAGCGCATATCTGTGGAATCAACAACAAACACTGAAACAGCAGGCTTCAGCACTATGTAGACTGGTACCCCGTTCCTACATATAAACATATATAAGTATTGTAGAGATAGTGTGCCCATCTATTTATCACGCCGATTGAATGCGCTTTCCTTCGCCAGACCTTTGTAGATGGAAACCCTGTTTACTACTCCGTTTATACAATTTGTATACAGTGTTTTTACACCGTCGTTTCTGATGCTGTCGTACCAGTCTAATACTATAGTGCTCGCATAGCCGTTTGATGGCAGCACTAGTGGTCCCGTGAAACTTCGTGAGTTTTAACTTTTATTATGGTTTTATCAAAAATATTATAGGCCTAGAGTACTAAGAGTACTGTAGGTATTAGCTTTCATACAGTATTCGGAGGTAACACAGGATTTGAGTGTGAATAGGCCTAGGCCTAGGCTATTGTTCGGCATGTTCACAACGATTTTCAGAATTTTGTTATTATGGTATGGGGCCTTATTGGAAGTGACTATACGCACGACGGCCGTGTGGATAAGATTCAATATGGCTATACGCACGGCGGCCGTTTGGATAAGATTCAATATGGCTATACGCACGGCGGCCGTATGGCCGACTCAATATGGCTAGGAATGAGGAAGGGGAGAAGGGAGAAGCTGGCGGAGAAGGGAGAAGGTGGTGGAGAAGGAGGAAGGGAGAAGCTGGTGGAGAAGGAGAAGGGGAGAAGCTGGTGGAGAAGGAGGAGGGGAGAAGCTGGTGGAGAAGGAGGAGGGGAGAAGCCGGTGGAGAAGGAGGAGGGGAGAAGGGAGAAGC